TCATAATCAGAAGGGCCAAGTATGTTTTCAGTTTTGTTGCACAGCAGCAGACCCTGTTTTTCAGAAAATCATGTGAAAAGGGATTTTTAAAGTGATATTGATGAATGAGAAGGAATCCAATGACCCCATGTTCTACATCTGCAGAATATAGACAAAGCCTTAAAAAAATTCTTTATAATTATTTCAAAGTTTACACCCCAAACAAGGGGGAGTCCCTGAGTAAACTTGCAGTGAAAGTACCTCTCTGATTTGCTGGTTGTCCTCTCTGGTAAAGCTCTTTTACATATTTTTAGCAGACTGTCAGCCGTATTGACTGAGAAAAAGATCAAAACTATTTCACAGAATTCATAAGCACCGTGTAAGAAAACAGACTAAACCCAAAATCTTAAATTTTGGGGGGAGCTACAATATTGTATTATTTTAATGATTTTCTACCCCTGACAACCACAAAAAAGGAGCAAATAATATATTCTAACAATTCTTTTGACCGGACAGTGAGAAGTTAATACATGGAAAGGTATTAGTGATTTCCTCATTACAGCAGATTTTGTGATATCCATAAGAACACAGGTGAAGACTCTGGACTTTGCAACAAAATGCATTTTTACAAGCAGTAGCTTTCAAAAGGATGTATAGCTTTATTTAAGCTTTTCTGCTGCTTAAAATCTATGTGCAAACTGAAAATACACTGTAATTGAACACCATTGTTGGTTCTTCAATACTTATAATTCTCGTGTTATTTACCAATAATCTGATATAGCTCCTTGTCATGCTCTGGATTTGTAGCATACCTTGACAAGAAAAACGTGTTTCAGTAACAGATGTTACATATTCCAAACAGAATAATTTAATCTTTTGTAATGTGCACATCTGCAGAATAGCAAAGTTTTTACAGGGTGGACGTACAAAACAAGGAAAAGAGATTATACAGGAAAACAAGAGAAAAGAAAAAGAGTAAGAAAATAAAAAAAGAGGAAAAAGTAAAGGATATAGAAAATCTATGACAAACTGGGAAGACACAGAAGCAGGGTGCTTGCAAATACAAGTGAAGAGGCACTTCACTGGAAGGACAAACAGAAAAGCCTCAAAGCCCAAGGAATTGTTCCTAATTTGGAAAGGTGGACACCCAGCTAGTAAAGCCAGTGGATACGTTCCCTGGGGAATAGTATACACGTATACTGCCACTCTCTGCTCCCTGCTTCCTAACATTCTGCAATTCTTATTTATTTCTTATGATAGCCCTACACTGGGGTATAACTGAATTCAGTGGGATTACTCCATGAATTATTGACTACAGAAGCAAACCTGTGTACCAGAGAACTGACCTAAATCACTCGCGCGCATACGTGTGCACTAGTTGAGCAATCTTTCACAACAGCATTCAAAAAAAGTATTATCCTGTGTATTTTCATATTGAACAAAAGTATCAGACACAGAAAATAGAGCCAGCTATTTACTTGTTAACAGTTAACAATATTATTTTTATAATGTATCAATTAATAAAAATCCTATGGTCCTATTCTGCTGACACATATAAAAATGCAGGCAATTTATTTTCAGAAATGATAGCAATGCAAAAAAAACCTACAAAAGATGAAATAATGTAAGACTGTACATGCTTGTGAAAAAATATATATCGCACATAAAAACCAGCAGCCTCTAGAGTTACAGGTACCTGGGATTTTTCAGATGCTAGACTTTAGGAAGCATTAAAACTAGAAAAAAAGGGAATTTAAATTAAGTCAAGATAGTAGCACTTAACATTGCAGAAATGAAAAATCCCATTCAATTCAATAGGATTCACTGATGTTTATAATGATACTTCAAATTTATGCTTTAGAATCTGCAATTAAACGGTAACAATTACATCCCTCTGAAAGGGAGAAGTTTTTATTTATTTTTATTTTTTAGCATTTCTCAGGCAATTTTTAAGGATCAGCTCATCAATTTTGTACGTAAGAGTTGTATAGCAATCAACTTACAGTTCTTTTTAAAGAACTATTGCCAAGAAAAACTGCACATTCGTTGTTTGAACCAATATCGTTCATCTCAGTCTTATTTTTGAAATAATTCCTCAATCTATGAAAAATAATACTGAAACCACAGTAGCTGCTTCTGTTCATAACAAGTTTTCACCTTTCTCCTGATGTCAGCCTCGACACTGACCTAAATGTACCTGCAGTTTAAAAGAACCATTTATTTCACTGCCTGACAGACAATTTTGTTTTATAAACTTTCAGGTCTGAAGAACACAATGAAGTGATTTAAGGATGTACAAAACCAACATTTCAACAATGGTATTTTCCAATTGACATGAGAGAACTTCTAGTGGTGGAAGGTTTTATGAAGACATTAATCTTCTAACCTAGCACAAAATAAGAATAGGTTGACTTCAATATGCCACTCAGTTCCACAAAAATGGCATGAAGTGAAAAGTCTCTGTAATATTTACTGTTAATGAGACACAAGGCCAGTAGCAACCTGACATCTGATTAAAATTTTGACATTTTAAAGAAGTCTGTATTTAAAACAAGGAAGACCACAAAACGCCACCTCTTCTGCAACACAGGACATTAGCTAAAGGCGAAGGCATGACGAAGTGTAGAACAAATTGCTACCAAAAATCTCAGCTCTGACCAGCCAACAGCTGGTCATTTGGTCTGCAGTGAACAGAAGTTATGTTTAGGCTGCCCTCAAAGGAAAATAGAAGGAGGAGGTGCAATATTTTATTCACTAGGTCTGTAACAAATAAAGTGCTTGCATTAATATTTCCCTTTTCTTCTGTCAAGCAAAACACCAACTTTTGCTTATCTATGGTTTTACATTTGTTTTAAAGCTGTCTCTCCAGATTCAAACCAGATAACTTAATCCTGACCTTAACCCTGTTACTAGTCTAGTATAATAAATAGTATTTCAACGCCAACAGTGGACTTACATCGAGATGAATAATTTCTAAGCAACAGAAATAGGAAAATCTGAAAAAAAGTTTCTCAAACATGAAAACCAGATTTACTTCTATCAGCATAAAATCAGGATTGATATACATCCAGCTCTCAGTAGACCCAGAAAGACAGGCACTGAACTATTAGGGTGTTCAGCAAATAAAGACTCAAGCACTGCATGCTGTTGCTTTGAAACTAACTGTTTGTGTTCCACTAAAATCCGTTATATTGTCTAATAAGTAAGCATTTTCTAAGGACTGCTTAGAGCAATAATTCTTCATAATCTAAAATTAAAACACAGCAATAGCTCATGGAACATTACCCGGTTGTTGAAAAACTACAGTGAGTGCTGATAAGAAAGCATTGTAGTACTTACCATACTGAAAGCTCACAAAAACGTGTTCAGTACACAAGCACCAAAGGGAGATGGAGCTAATCATGAAAGTTCATTTCTAATAACAAAAAAGTTATAAACAAACTGTAAAGAAAAATAACTTACGAGTATTTGATACCAAGGATATTTTGTACAGAGGTTATGCTGCTTCTGTGTGAGACCAAGAACTCGTAACCGCTAATTCAATCCAGTACATATATTTCTCCTGTTTACAATCCTCTAATTGGAGGCTCATTACTTACTCTGTATTTGCAGGTTCTCTTTTGATCCAAAACTTGCTTAAAAATGGAACCTAGAAATAATTTTAGTTTATTTTTATGACACCTCATTTTGTCCTAAACAGATTAAAAAACCAAAACACCTACTGCATTGTGCCTTTAGTACTGATTTTTTTTTTTTCTATGTTAGAAACAATGGAACAATTCTATTTATTTATTTATTTATTTATTTATTTTTTAAATATGAGGAAGCTATATTTGTGCCTTGGTACCTGCAAGCATTTCCTTTACTGTGTTGAAAAGTCTGTCTGGTTTTAAGTACTGTTTAGATTTAAAACTTGCCCCAAGAAAACTGCTTTTTTGGTACAAATGCTGTATTTTTGTCTTGTAAAGGTATTCATGAAAAAAATCTATCAGCAGATGACACATTATAAATAACTGCAGTTTCTTATTTTTCTTTGTGGACCGTAGAACTATCATGGGATGTTATGCTAATGCCTTTTGAGAAACTATGAACAACTACAAATTCTACCTACGTGTTTCATAATTTAGATTTGTTTATATTTGCATAAAGCCAGCCCTCTGGCCTGCAAAACCTGTTAAGAAGGGAAATTAAAAAAAAGACCCAAAACTCAAATCTACCATACTTACTATCAATAATTTTGTTGACACCATTCAGGAATTCCATAGACTCAAAATAAAATCACAGTCCTTTTTCTCCTTTCAGAATATAGCCTCTTAATCCAAATAATATCAGAGAAGTTAAAATTTAGTCCATTCATCTGGCATATGTTTCCCTCTGTTTCATAAACATGCATATCACAGAGAAAAATTGTTCAATTTAAGGTTTCTTACATGATTAGAGTGTAAAAAATCATCATAGAAATATGGTTATTCTCAGACTTAATAATGTCCTTATTGTAATGTATTATGTTTCCATAAAACAAAGATTTAGCACACCCAATTGTGTTATAAGCAGCCAGTAAATACTGTTAATTGTCTAGGAGGATTACAAAATAGAAATTCTTCTACTACTACTGTTCCAACAGTCTCACCACAAGTTGGAGGTAAAATGTCAAGAAAACTAGAAGGAGGACGCAGAGGAAAATATGTGACAGCTTATCAGAAACTCTGGTTCAAAAATTCTATGGCTACTGTAAATAAGGCAGCCTCTCTAGAACAATACAGTACTACAGGTACCATTTCCTTTTTACAACCTGTAGAATACTTCTTTTTTTCAATATTCTAGTTAAAAGTTATATCCTATGGGAAGGACAAGAAGTACACACTAAGAGTGTATGATGACTTTTTACACAACGATAATTAATCATCACATTTCATTAATAAATTATCAGGTGCTTGCAAGCTGTCCACAATCTTTTTCATCTAGTTTGCATATTTTATAATGGTGGAATAACATTTTAAAAAGTTTGAATAGGCACTTACTGGAATTACAGTTAATCCTGATACAGTCTAGATGGGGAAGAATAGATGAAAAATGAATATTTATCCTTCAAGGTAATAGCTGCAGACATCCAATAAAATCACAGTCCACCCTTCCGGGGACAGACACATGCAAATATGGCCACTCCATATCATCAATCTTTACATACTGTTATAACCCAGATATACTGCGATAAATCTTTATAAATAGAAACGACAAATAGGGTAAAAATGGCCAATTTCAAACAGAGCTACATGGTGACAAATCTAAGCGAAAAATCAGGATTAAATGTCAAAGATGCTTAACTGAGGCAGGCTGCAACTTTCTTCCCATCTGTGAAAGAACAGGTAATTTCTCTCGGTGCAATTAGAAAGTGCTCCGTCACAATGGGTCATAGAGCAAGCCAGGCCACATTCAGACATCTTGGACAACTCGTGTATAGTATACCTCAAAGGCTGATCTTCAAAAACTAAGTGGTAAAATACAAAGCTCGCCACCCAGGCCTGTAAATAAGGTTTTGTGGGTGTACATTATTTTCTTAATGCATAGACTTAAGAAATGAATAGTGACTACATTTAAAGTACAGAAAATAATCACGTATTTATAAACACTTATAATTAGAGAATGCTGTCTATCTTCAGATTATTTCCTTGACTAAGGAAAAAAAAAAAGGAGGGGGAGGGGAAAGAAGGAGGAGTGTTGGAGGAAGAAACACTATTGCTAGGGCATGGATTAACTTTCTTGAACTATAAAAGAGGGCAAAAACTACCAGAGGGTGGTGTTTTGTACATAACGAGAACGACCTGATCTGTAGCAGGATCCTCTGCTGGGCTTCCTGCATTTATTAAGTAAAAAAATCAAACCCTGCGCCACACTACTCGGTTAGTAGGGCTACTCCTGGCTTACACCTTTGAGGAACATATATACCATCAAACCTAGATTTTGTTTCCATATAGCTGAGTTTGTCATGTGTCGTCAACCGCATCAGAAAAGTGGTCGCAAACAGCCACGGCGCAGCGCCCGCACATCCCCTTTCACAGAAAGCGCTGGGGGGGCCGGGGGCTCCGCGCCGCCGCTGGGCGCCGGGGGCCGGCGGCAGCTGCAGCAGCCCCGGCTCGGCACTAGGGGGGACTGCGAGAGAACCAGAGAGAGAGGAGGAGGCGAGGAAACCCTTCGCTTCGCCTTCTCCCTGCCGAAGTCCAAACACCGGGGCAGGATCTCAGTGAGCAACACTTTTATGGAGTGGAGCGTGAGGTGATTATTTTCTTTTCCCCCCGCATGCTTTCTGGAAATCATTTTATCTGCGATTACAACAATAAAAAACCTTAATTCCCTTTAAAAATAGCATTCCTCTGAGTGGGAATGACTGCCCTGAACGTGCCTTTTCCTGAGTGTGCTACTGTTCTCTAAGGTCCTGACTTGGATTTATTTGTAAGCACGGCAGAAGCGCTTTTATTTATGCACTTTTTTAAAAAAAAAAAAAAAACAAACTAGAGAAAACCACAACCTAACTTTTTGTCCATCATGTTTCAAACCAGGAATTTTTTTTTTTTTTTTTTTTTTTTTTTCTGTAAAAGGGCTTGTGCCTCCTGCGTTCACACGGCTGTTTGCTGAGGGCCGCAGTCTTTGGGCATTGAAGGGTTGTGTTATCGTTCGATACTACAAAAATACCACTACAAAATTATTTAAAAAGGAAGAGATGGATTTACTATAAATTTGACACCTAAAAAAAGGAGACCAAGAAATCCATCAGTGGGAATATCTAATTGCAAGTTTTCAGTGCTAAAACTAGAAATTCTTTAATACATTTGCCTGTTGTAAGTTAATTGGTAGAGGTAAAACTGAGCTGACCTATATATGTCTTGATTCTACTTGCACATTTATATCATGGAATTGCAACTGAGATGAAGTTGTGGTGGGAGACCAAGCTTCCACAACAAAGAATAATAATTTAGCCCCAAAATACCACTGATGAACTAGTCTTCTCTTTTTAGAATACACAATAGTACAAAAATATTGTGATGGATTATGTTATGACTATATAAAGAATACAAAAATGCAAAAGAAAACAAAACAAAGTATAATAATGGGCATGTATTTGTGTGTATATGTACATAGGCAAATGTTGCATTGACACGTGTTTATATATCATTTCATTTTTAATGTTAAAACAGGCCGTTTCATAAATGTTTGCAAGCAAAAAGAAAAATGTAAAGAAAATGTTAATTTCTTGGAGGAAGATTTTGTTACCTAGGTTGACCGTTAATTTAACTCGTCCCGCATCCAACTCTAAACGAAGGGTATCTGCAGATTCCCTAGAAGTAGTTGCCATTAAAATGCCATAAGCTCGCTGAGACCTGAACCGCAAAGAAACATCTTCAGCCTCTGTATGCATCACAACAGGGAGCTGGATTTTCATAAACATACTTCCATCATAGCTTAAAATTGTTGCCTCTGAAAACATAAAGCAGAATATCAGTTATGAAAGAATTACATCGTTTTTACTGAAGCTGCTCAAAGAGACTATAGTAAATGTATATTCACTCAGTACGACAGAGAAAAATTACATATTACGTATAATTATTATTATTGGGAAACATAAGGGAAGTTGGGTTTGGGTTTTTTGTTAGGTTTTGGTCTGGTTTCTTTTTTTATGTGGCATATTTTGATGCTTTTTAAAGAAACTAAATTGCTCTTTAATGAACCAGTCGTTCATGTATGAATCTTCAAGCAGATGGGTAAAATCACCTGTAAAGAAATGTTTGCAAGACTAGGCCTGTACTACTCAAAATAGGTCAAAGCCAGTAAAAGACATTCAGGTAAACCTTACAGCCTATTAAAAAGTCATGTCTGACTATCATCCACCTAGACAATTACCTTAGGATACTTTGTGTATAAACCTATCAGTATTGCTACTACCACAGTTACAGTTATCATCCAGTTAGCAAAAAGCCCCCTGAAATGGGTAAATATCCCCAGCATGGTTTGGACGGAGCACAGATTGCTTCATGACCACAATGACTGCAGTATGGATAGAATCAAAACCACGTGTATGAGCATTATGACAGCCTCAACAAGAGGATTGAGACTGGACTTGGCATATTGAGGGTAAGATCTTAAAAACCCTGAGACAAGCAAATAACTGTCACTTTTAGACATTACAGGAAACCCTCCCAGCGAGCAGCTCTGGCGCAGAGCAGTCACAGTCTGTTAGACCCCAGAGCAACCAGCCACAAGTTTTCTTTTTCCAGCCTCCAGGCTGGTAAAGAGAAAGGTAGCAGAAAGCTGCATTTCTGCTCACAGGGAGGCACAGTAGTTCCTAGAAAGCAAAGGACACATCTGTTTCTGAAATGTATTAGGAAGTCATTTTTTGCAGGACAATCAAGCATTGAGGCCAGTTAACCACCACAGCCTTTGGACACGGCTCTTAGACTCATTGACACAGCACATGGTGGTGGAAGAAGCAGTGAACAAGCAACATCCATTACCCCAAGCCACCAGTCAGTAGGCAGACCACCAGGAATTTCAGTAGGCTCCTTCATAACATACAAAATTTACCATACTACATTACTAAAACCACTACCTGAATGGCAAAATACACTACCTAAATGTGCCCTGTTTTATGCGCATCTGATTGTTTACCTACCACTAATTCACTAGGGACCTTCTAACTTCTCCCATGTCTCCAGCATTCTTTAACCCACCCAAAAACTCTCAGTCTTAGAAACTGCTGAAGTGTTAGACCATGAGGTCTAAACAGGATGCTACAGAAGCTTTCTTAGAAAAAGATGCAATCCTGAAGGCACCTCAACTCACTGAAAAAAATATGTTACTTGCTCAATGACAGGCCAAATGAGTAACAAGCAGAAAGAGAAGACAGCAGAGAAGAACTACAGGAAGCTTCTCTATGCTTCAATTTGCTGCAGTATAATGGAGACATTTATCGACAGCAAAGGTGTTTTGTGGTCCCACATGCAATAATGTTTTCAAGGACTGATACTGCTGATACTATCTTTAATCAGTATCACAATTGAAAACAGTGGGGAGATTTTTTTTTTTTTTAACATCATTACTTACGACAGTTTGTCAAAACTGTTTCCGTTATATATCTTGTATACTGTTAAAGATAAATAAGCTCTTCAAGAATTCCAGCCTACACAGCCCATGGAAGGACAAAATGTTCCACTAATTCTGTGAGTATATTGGAGACAAAAATGATAGACAGTATGTTCATCAATAATTCCAGACTTCCCCAATGCAAGTTTGGAGAAAACAGTTTGATGTTGGAAGAAAGGGGTTACGAATGCTGGCATGCAAGTCATTAGGTGTAACTGGTTAGAAGAACACATTTACAGGTTTGATGATTTCTAACTGTGCAGGTAATAACGTTTTCAGTATATTCTAAAGCTAAGTTTTTTCTGTGAAACAGATTAAATACTTAACTCACACCAGCCTGAGGTGATTTTGGGGTTTTTTTTTGGTTTTTTTTTTTTTTTTTTTTTTTTTGGTTTAGTTTTGGGGTGTTTTTTTTTTTTTTTTTTTTTGGGGTGCGGGGGGGGGTGGTGTTGCAGCAGGCAGCAGTGAGCAGGGGCTTACAATTCATTCTTTTGCCTAGCTGTCTAGTCTGTACATGAAAAGTTCCCAAGATCTTTATCAAGGTAAACACAATTTATATAATCATAAAAGTTTGTGTTACATGATAATGTAAGAGAAAATAAATGTTATTTTATATTGTCTATTAAAAAAGACACATTAATAGTATTTAGGGTTTTCATAAACCGAGCAAAATCAGATGTTACAGGATGAACAGCATTCAACAACACTAGAGGTCTGTTGCTAATAAATTATCTTATGATAATGTAAAAGAAAGTCATTAGAATCAGTCCTGGAACTGTTTTCCAGCTTTCCTATAATTATTCAGTCTTTTAGAAAATTATAGAAAAAAAGGAGAGAAAGAACTGTCTTAATTTAATCAGAGATGACCTGTGAGTATTTAACATCATGGTGAACAGACCTGATATGATTAGATACTCAATCCTCCTAAACCATACTGTGCCAGTTATTTTGGAAACAGATGTTCCAAGAACAGACCAAGGAGACTAAACAGAAGATTGAATGACTTAAAAGCTCTGGGGCAATGAGAAAAACCCCTCATGTCAAGTAGCTCCTTTCAGTATGGGGAGGTCTAAGTCACAGGCTTTCTAAATACAAAGTTATCACAGGAAAAAAAAACACAAAAAAACATAAAACTGGCAGGAAGCAGGGATGATTTGATCAAAGAAAATTTAGCACTGCCCTGAGAGCCATAACTGAAGACTGGAGACACTACATATTCCTGAAATGAAAAATACAACTATGTTCAGTTTACTCACTGCTGGTACAAGTGTTGTTAGGAAAACCTTTTGCTGTTAAACCATTATTCTACATTAAGAAGGCAGAATGATATTTTGTCAATATTATGTTCATCTCTAAGGATGACAAGCTGTATTTTGCCATGTGCATCATCCATTCACCTCAGCATCTTTTCCACTTGACTCAGCATTGCACTCAAGCTCTGCAAACTTCCATCTTCTGTTGGTCTTGGCTGGACAGAAGGCATCTAGCATTACATGTATGAGACCTTTGACAGCACAAGGAGTTCCCTCTTCCCTCACTGGTGTCTGTCTTGTAATTCTTTGTGGCAATGCCTTATTACCCTACCATTGTGCTTGGTGGCATACATTAAAAGAACTTTGTTTTCCAGACAATAGGAAAAAATAGTTTTGAAGATGAAATAAGAAGGGATTGTTTTATTTTGACAGTGATTGTTTCAGTTGTTTAATGGAATTGTTTCCATCCTGCAGTTACTGCAGTTGTCCAGAACGGACTGTTAATTTGCAAGGCCTGGTCAGTAAGACAGTGATCTGAATGAAGAGAGGCAGTGGGGGTTATACCAGTTATGCAAACCTTGAAGGAACATTTTCGCTGAAAGTATGTATTAATTTTTGCCCCTAACTTTCACTTTTTTTACTTCGGGCCAAGCAATTCCAAAGGGGCATGTGTCTCATCTTGCTTTGATATCTACACTGCTAACTGTTCTCACGTAAGTCTTGTCAGAATGTCTCTTTCCTCTTGTTCAGCTTCTTCTTAATTATTAGATTAAATGCTAATAGACCATAAGTTTAGCTCAGAATGCGCTATTCATTAAAAGAATCAGAGTCTCCACAGCAGGGAATAACAACTTTACTACCACTTCAGTGTTGGAAGCATAGCCTTGAAAAGAAAAAAACCCAAAACCCTCATAAAGCATTACTGACAATTTTTTTTGCGGCAGCAAATAAGTGCATGCAGTAGAGTTATTAACAAGAAATAAACAATAAGGTGTAATTCAGAAACTGTTATATTTTATACATTCTTTTTTTTTGATATTTTTATAAAATTGACAATTAAAACCCCTTGCTGCTTATGTGTTAAAAAACAACCAACAAAATAAAACACACAAATGAACGAAAAAACCACTGAAGGTTCAGTTCCCCTCTCTATTTTTGTTTCCTTCAACTCGTTTTTGATTAAAATCTCCAGGGCTGCATACTCTTCCTTCCTGTACAATACACTGACTCAATCAGCTCTGTGTCTGTCACTAGGGATGCACAGACTAGGACTGATACGAGAGGAGATCCAGACCCTTAATTTTCACTTGGGCTAGGATTACCTAAATTGATGAAGAGACTGAGGCACCTACTCTTCGGGAAACTTTTGTAAGCCTGTTTCTACCCTCAGAAATGCTCAGCTGGATATTTATGAGGAGAAACAGAATTTTCCAAATCGATGCTATTCCTCAATTCACAGCTTATTTAAATTAAAGTGAAAGAAGTATGGACTATGCATTTGAATTTCAGTGGTCCTCCTCATAAGTTTTGCTGTCAAGTTTGTGTTGTTTTTAACATGATGCTTGGTAAGTATGGATGCTTACTGCATGTATTTTAATAAATAAAACAGTATCTTGTTTCCTCTGGACCCCTTGTAGTGCCTCTAAATTCCCAAAGACAGAATTACTAATTTTTTTCTGTTTTTTTTCCCTTTGAAAGTTTACAGTAATATGGGGACTGTGTTGCAGCCCACAGGGCCATTTTTAGATCATGAAAGCACCCTCTGTGCCTGCTGTCTCTGAAATCACACACAAACTTTGCCCAGAAAGTTACAGATGATACAGTCCAAAGCCATACCAAGTATACGAACAATCTGGATCATCGATAACAAAGTATTCAGGTTTGCTCTCTGACTGTGTTTTATTTACCAGTGTAAGTACAGCAAGAATATCCTGCCCTGGAAACACTCACTGATATATATGGTTTTATTCCTATAAATCCTCTGAGTCTTCAAGCATATCGATGGCTACTGATTCAAACTCAAACTTTTAGTTTTTGTTCTATTCACAGGTGTAGACTAAGCTAAGCATTGTTTCATCTTTTCTATAACAGTTTAAATGATTCCTTCTGCTTTCTACACTGGTATTGTTTCAGGACTGAGGTCATAAGCCACCCTGTAAAGGTGCTAGAACTTGAACGCACAGGCCCAATTAGTTAATTTCAGTCAGAGATGGAATTACTATGTTTTTCACATATGGTTCTTCGTACTATCTATCATTACATCACCTCAATTTTTCTTTTTTAAACAATTTAAAGCACCTAGAGATAATACAAGAAATTAAAGCTATACTTCCTTATTTAAGGTATACGTGTATACTCAGGTGTGTGTGCCTGCACAATGTGGGTATCTACAGACACACATGCTCTAAATATATT